TCCTTCTCACTGTTCTGTATTAGTTGACTAAGGCCACCTTCTGCAGGAAACCATCTACATCGCCCTTGTGTCCAAGCACCCTGGGCTCTAAATTAGCCTCCCGGTACCCTCCCCTCTCCCCTCCACATTCTCTCTCTAACTGCAGGATTCACTGCAGCCCTCTCCTCTTCCCTATCCATCATCTCCCTTGAGCTGTCACTCTGCCTGTTCTAAACAGGGAAGTCTGGTGCCCTGGCAGAAGGTCCCCCCCATTTGCATTCCTCTAGCACTCAACGGGGCTTAAGAGGAAGTGGCTGCCCCTCACTCCATGCTGCTCTGGTATCTCTTGCTCTTGACATCACCTCTCTCCCACTCTCCTGGGGAGGGCCTGAGGTCCAAGTGTGCTGATCTTTTCACTGGCGATCATTTAGGGTCAGAGAGGAAGGCTAAAGCATAGAGACTTCCATGTCTTAAGTCAACCTTTCTGGTTTGGGGAACATTTTTTAGTGGTATGCAGGCAAATATTTTGGTTCCATAGCTGTATATTTATTTTTATGGATTCCTTCTATCTTTGGTAAGGAATGCTGATTTTTCCATTTATGGTTATAATGTAATGTTTTATTTTAAAAATAAATTACTTAAGAAACAAAGTAAGTTGACTTAAAAAATATATATTTTTTAAATGAAAGTATAAATGGACCACCGAAATGGCAAAAGGTAGACTGAAGCTTAAGAAACATTGCCTTAAGCTGGGCCGTAAGTCTTATCTGCCCCAGATTAGCACTTCTTGAAAAGTGGTCCTGACCTTTTCATGTGTTGGTTCTGAACACCCGGGGGTGGGTCCACTTTTCATGTGTGGGTTCATAGAATATCTGTGCTTTCTGGGCACTCAGCGGGGGAGTGCCCAACTGGATTATAAAATCAGGGCTGTTTTCTCCAACTACCTGCTGTCCAGGATGTTCTCTGAGACCTAGCCACTAAAGTCTAAATGTTCTTTAATCCATTGTCTTTTTCCAGTTCTTGCTCAAGAGGTGGGTTAGTATACCAGTTTTCAAAGTGGAAGAAATTGGGAGACTGAATAACTTGCTCCACATCCCAGTGGCCAAGCTTTCCAGCCCCGGTCAGCCAGGCTGCAAGCACTTTTCGTTGGGCTGCACGCACAGGTACGTGAACACACTCATACAGGAAGAAGTCCAGGAAAGCTGTTGTAAGCTACTAAACTTGTCTTTCTTTCCACTAGAACTGTGACCCCCAATTAGCAGCCTGTCCTGTGAAGGCACTTCATTTAGGAAGAGCAGTGCCAAGGTAGTAACTATGATTTGAGTGTGCTAGGTGTTTTGTCTACATCATTTCTTTAACCCTGTAAGAAATAAGATGTTCTCATGGAGATGAAAATATCTTATAAGATCAGGTTCTCTGATTATCCACTCAGATCAAAGCTCTCCCTCCTCTTGCTTCCAGTTCTATTAATGGACATAGAAACAGTATTCCAGTTCCTTCTGTCACTTGGCTGATGTGGTTGGTGCCTGCTGCCCTCTAGTGACAGAAAAATTCTTTGCTAGAAGTGATGTCCCTAGATCTTTGGCCATCTCTACAAGGCCGGTTTAGGTGATTATCCTTACTTGCGCCTAAAACTATTAACGGTCAATTTGTAAGGACTAATTTTGATAACACAGAATTTCTGATGCTGATTATAATCTCTGATGACATATTAGTTAAGATTCTTTTAGTTGTTAAGTCTCTGGCTTAAACCAACATTAAGAATTTATTGAGTTGGGTAACTGTCGGTAGTCTAGGTTTCGATTTCAGGACTAAATCAATCCAGGACTCACTTGACAATACCGGGCTCCACCTCTCAGCATGGTTTCCTCCCCGCGTGGGTGGACTCTGCCTTCAGCTCTGGCCGGTACACAAGCTCTAGTCACAACCACATTATTCCACGCCTCACATAAACCCACTTCAAATGCAGCAGAGAAATAGAACAGCTGTGTCCCACTGTTTCCAGCAAAACTCACAACAGAACATGATGTGCTGGTTGCCTTAACCAAGTGGCAATCCTGTCCCCCTCTTTCCCTCCAATACAATACAGGCCCTGGATTGGTGTCTATATGCCACTGTGATGGTTAACATTCTATGCGTCAACTCGACTAGGTCATAGTACCCAACATTTGGTACTATTCTAGATGTTTCTCAGTGTGTTTTTTGGGTGAGATTAATATTTATATCAGTAGACTTTGAGTAAAGCAGTTGCCCTCCATAATGTGGGTGGGCCTCATCCAATCAGTTGAAGGCCTTAAGAAAAGAGATGACCTCTCTTGAGAGAGAGAGAGTTCTACCAGCAGATGGCCTTCGGGTGTGAACAGCAATTCTTCCCTGGGTCTCCAGCCTGCTAGCCTACCCTGCAGATTTTGCACTTGCCACTTGCATAACCACACAAACCAATTCCTTAACATACGTCTTTCTCTCTATATATACACAGATCTATTGATAGATCTAGCTATACAGATCTCAATGTCTATAGCTATGTCTATAGACATCCTATTGGTTTTGTTTTTCTAGAGAACCCTGACTAATACAGCCATACACCTCAAATAACTAAGAAGAGGACAGAGGAGAAAATTTTCCAAAGATAACTTGGAAGTGCTGTTACCAGGAAGAAAAGATGTAGGATAAACAATCATGAAGGTGCACTATAGGTGGGGATGATTAAAATCAGTTTGTTGCTATTTAGTACAAGCAACTTGGTTGACAACAATTTTTGAAACAGGTCCATGAGGAGAAAGATTAAGAGTAGTCTTGATGGTAAAAAGGTATTGAGGGTTTTTTTCCTCTCAGCTTTTTTTTTTTTATTTTCCAAATAAGTAGATATGTTTTAAATGTTATTCAGAATGAGATGTTTGATGGCATGGAGTAGAAGAAGCAAGATTAACTTGTATGTTTGATTTGAGTAAAATCAGGATGGTTGTCCAAAATATTGCCCACAACTGGTAGAATGCTTGAAATTCTATTATTAAAATTGTATTTCTTTGCTCTTGAAAGCTTGGAGGCCCTTAGGTATGTGTTGTTAAAATAAAAAATAACCTTTAGAGATGTCCGAACTGCTTTCCTCAGAACAGCAGCATTTACAAGGTGTTCATTCAATAGGTGCTCTTCAAAGGACGCCATAAAGAAGATAAAGAAGACTAGGGAACAATATATGTCATAGCCCCCTCTTGGACATTCACAACACATATTAGCATATTAAAGGCTCTGAGAAGTCTTGGATTAAGATACCTGTTTAAATTAACCCAAAATTTTCTAAAATCATTTGATCATGAAACACATTTCTCCCCACAAAGTACCTATTACTATTTCACTGAATTTGAGGATAATGAGGTGTATGTGTTGGGGGTTGGTGGAGGGAGGTTAGGAAGAGCAGGGCCTCAGGAGCAAGAATAGCTTAAGTTTAATTCCTGAATCTGCTGTTTATTAACTAGCCAAATTGCCTATGTTGCTTAAACTTTTTTGGCTACAATTCTTTATTTAGAAAGTAAGTTTAATCATCACCTGCCTCACTGGGCTACAATGGTAAATATTAAGTAAGGAAAAGCCATTTGTAATAGTTGTTGTAATTCACTTTTGTAATTCACTCTCAAGAAGATGTTGATTTTGTCAATTGTCCTCTCTCTCTTTTTATTGAAATATGGTCGATTTACAATGTTGTGTTAGTTTCTGCTGTACAGCATATTGATTCATATATATATATAATCTTTTTCATATTCTTTTTCATTATAGATTATTAGCTCTCTTTTTCTCTCTCTCCTCTCTCCCTCCCTTACTGCCCCTTTCTTCCCTTCCTTCCTTCTTTTTATATTTTTATTTCAATAAACTTTAAAAATTTCAGAATAGTTTTAGATTTTGCAAAATAGTTGCAAAAATATACAGAGTCCCCATGTACCATCTTCCCCTTCGCCACCCCCTCCAACATTTTTTTGTGTCTGCTTTGTGCTGGGAACTGTAGGTACAAAACTGGCCAGTCAGGGTCTTCTTCACAGTACTCACTAACAATCTCCGGGGAGGTGGAGCAGAGACAGGCCTATCAACACCTACAAGACTGAGCCATGTGTGCAGGGCAAAACAAGGTGAGTGAATGCATTCAGGAGGGTGACTTAACCCAGACCAAGGAGCCTGGAATGGCTACTGGAAGAAAATGTCCACAAAGAGGAAGCCTGATGGATGAGAAATGAGCCAGGCAACAGGTGGGGAAGGAGAGTGTTCCTAATGGGATGAAGCCAAATTAGAAGGAAAACGGGCAACAGAGTGAGGTGCAGAGCTTAGCAGAGAACCCCAAAGAAATACTGACGACTTCACTTGTGCCCAGCCTAGAAACTACTTTCAGGATAATGTTCTTTAACGATGTCATTTGACAGACTTCCCTTCTGCAAAATTCTTGCACAACTCGCTAAACAGATCAACTTTTCCAAAACAATAGTGACTTTGAGCTGTTAACCAAAGCACTAAAGTATTACTTTAAAAAAATTAAGAAAAAAGTTTAAAGATAATCTCTTTAAAAAAAAAAAGAAACCAAGAAATAATGACCATCAAAGGAGGGGAAGTAACCGTGAACTTCTAATACAGCTGGAGCTGTGTGATTTGTCACAGGAGTTAGCCTGTTCTCCGGGGGCTCCGGTGAGCCTCGCATGTCGCCACCACGACAGGCGGAGGTGAGTGAAGGCTCGGTTTTCCCCGATGGTTCCCAGCAGTTAGCCAAGGCTCCCGCTCTTGGCAGGACGTCTGCGCTCTGTACTCCAGTCCTCCCCAGCCTTCCCAGTTTGAACGGCTGAAGAGTTCAGGAAGGACAGCAAGCTGGCTCTCGGAGTCCTCACCTGAACCCGGCATGCCAGCCGACTGCGGACACGCCCCCAGTGGGGAATGCCCATTTGTGCAACAAACCCTGACTCCTGCCCCGCTCCCCGCTCTACACCCCGCCCCCAGCGCACAGGCCGACTTGCTGAATCAAAGGCGCCCTCCCCCACCTCGGCGTTCCCCCAAAAGCTTCCTCCGCCACCACCCTCCATCCCCCGCCCCGGCCCCGGGGACATTTCTTTAGGCCTCTTTTCGGGTCTCCCGGAAGAGCCACCCGCAGATGCTCACAGACGCTTCTGGAGAAAGGGAAGCGATCTTGTGTGACTGCGCGAGCGCCCCGGGGCGGGTCCTGGCAGGGAACCCACTCCTGGGCTTGGCTGGAGGGGAGGGAGGGGACAGGCGGGGCTGTCACTTCTCCTCGAATGTGTGACCGGCTCTGCTGGCTGTTTGAGAGGCTCCTTCACTTCGGCGATTGCTCCCCAGCCATGTCCGGGATCTGGGTCCTCCTGCTTCTGGTGAGTCCTCTCCTGCGGGGCAGGGGCCTCTCCCGGCTGCGCTCCGGGGACTGGTGCAGTGGGACGGGTGAGGGACGCGCTCCGGGCACGGCGAGAGGATGCCCGTGTGGGCGTCCGGGCTCCCGGGACTGCTAGGACTTCCCCTGAGGGCCGGGTCTCAGGAAACCGGGAACCTCACTTTTCTGGGGGTTGGATGCGAAGCGGCGACCCCACACGGCCGGAGGAACAGCTCCGGATGATCCCCCGGGACGCTGACAGAGGCGTAGAGAGGGGTGGGAGCGAGGGGCCGGCAGGGGCCTGGGAAGTTTGGGGGTCGCTGGATAGGGAGGCCGGCCGGCGACAGGAGGGGATCTTCTGGACAAGTCCTTACATGTCACGCCAAAGGTCCGCTTCTGTGCGGGTGGCCGTGTGCGCCGCGGGACGGTGAGAACCAGCGCTCTCTGTGAACTGATAATACGAGTTTTCCCACAGTTCCCAAATTTGGGGACTAAATCAGCCCGGAGGCAGTGATTAAACCTGAGGCTTTGGACTGCACCGTTTCTTTCTTGAAAAGTTTGTCTCAGGGCTGAAGAGCCTTGTTTATCTTCTTATCACGACACAGAAAAAGAAACTTTGTTTCCCTTCCGGGAACCCCTCTCCTAAGACTGTGAGTCACTATCTCAGGTGTGGCTTTTTTTTTTTTTTTTTTTTTCTTGTAACGTTTCATCGCTTGCTGAACTCCGGGGCAGGAGGGAACCTTGGCCTCACTGCTCTGGCGTTGGTACCTGCTGCCACCGCGCACGCGCCAGGAAGCCTGTCCTTGGCCTACAAATCCAAGCAGCAGCCACCTCTTTTGGAGAGCCTCTGTCTCAGAAATGCCAGCTTGATGATGGCTAATCGCAGACACTTGGCATCGAGAGGTTCATTTGAGTTCCGAATTCTCTGAAATTCAATGGATTCTTATTTTGTCGGGCCCCACCAAAGGACCACGTACTACAGTAGGAGCGTTTACAGATGTGATCTCAGTCAGTTTTGCTGCGCAGTAAGGAAGACGTTCTCCTCTCCATTTTACAGCTGGCGAAATGGGGTTCAGGAAGCTTAAGTAATTCTCCCTGGTTCCTTCAGAAGTAATGTACACTATTTGGGCTCCTTTAGAAATTTCCTTAGAGAAAATTTCAGATTCGAAGTTGAGAACATGTATACAGCCACACTCTTCTCTTCCTTATAATTAACCACTGCCTTATTACAGTGTTGGTTGATTTGAGAATCCCTCTTAGTTTTGGGACAAAAGTATTAGTAAGTGTAGCAAAATTGTCAAAGCTCAGAGCTACTCATTAACTTTTATACCATAGGATTTTTACCTGATGTGCATGTTTAAAGCATCAAGGAATCTCAGCTTTTCCAAAAGAATGTACACATATTCATACATATATATGCATATATATACATACATTTACTTATTATATATATTATAGTATCTATAATATATGCTTACCATAATTTGTTTATTATTGCTATACATGATATATGACCTAAGAAATTAAAGATTAAATAAAATTTATCAGTACAGACGTGTAAATATCTGACATAACCCTATCACCTAGATAACCACCATTTACATTTTATAGTATATTCTCTATATCTCTTTTCTAATATGACCCTTAAATTTAGTTACACAGAATCCTGCCTTGCACCCATCTCTGGCCCAACATCATGCCTCTTATTTTTTTTTTTAATATTTTATTTTTTAAAAATTATTTTATGTTCTTTTTCTCTTTCTGAGATTGGGGTGGCAGTAATTAGGTTTATTTTAATGGAGGTACTGAGGATTGAACCCACGACCTTGTGCATGCTAAGCATGAGCTCTACCACTTGAGCTACACCTTCCCCCCTACCATGCCTCTATTCTTGAAGAAGTTTCCACATCGTTAAGTCACCTTGTGTGTCTCCAGAAAATGATTGCTTTTATGACTTTGCACTTAATAATGCTTACTCACTAGTTGCAATAATAAATAAAACAGAGGCAGGAGTGCTAGTGATACAGAACCCAGAGGCAAATGTGGTTTAATCATGTCAGTGGGCTGGAAGTAGATGGGAAGTAGCTACTATTTTCTATTTGCCTCTCTTCCTCTAGTTCTCTTGTCTCTAACGTGATCTACAGCCAGCAAATATCTCATCCTTTACCTCTTTGCTTCTCTTCGCTTCTTTCTTCCCTCTTGGAATTAGTTTTTTTCTCCCCTAGTTTCTGGGTGTCATTTTCATGGCACCAAAAATAGGTAAGTTTGAAATCCCAAAGCAATTCACAAACATCTAAAGGATACGGAAAAAGAGTCAAACTTCCTTCAGAAATATGTGTGAGAAGTAGCTGTGAGCGCGCCTGCTGCTGCTTTTCATAGCACATGGTCCTTACAGCCTTGTCTTGTACTGTCTAGGCCTATGGTTAGGTAATGACTAGGTAGCCATTTTCTTCTTTATTTCTCAGAGCGGTTCTCAAAATCATAGTTGAGGGAAAGGAGAGGGCAGTTGAAAAAGGAGCCAGTGTATTTGTAAGTAATCATACAGAAGAGTTTCAGGGAGAAAGTAAAGAACAGTTGTTAAATTTACAATTTAATAAGTTTCCTTAAACCAACCTAAGAAACATGAACTAGGTTGCAGTGTTTCTGTTTTTTTGTTTTTAACAAGTTGTCGTTATATCACAAAGGACTTGAAAAGTCTTATGAATAAAATAAAATTATGAAATGTAATTTAAAACATTAACAATCAGGATGGAAAAACACAAATTTATAAACGATGGCAAGATTGGGAGGCAAAAATAAAATTGGTATATAGAAATCCTCGGGGTCTCCACAACTAGCTACAATCAGATGAATGAAAAATCTTCTATTGTCCATCTCCCTAATACAATTATCACCCTTAGTGGCAAATTCAAGTTTAATTTAGAAAAAGAACTGTTTATTCTTGCAGTGAGTTTAGAGAAGGGAAAATATGAAATAAAGGCAAAGAACATTTGGATGTTTTCTCTAAGTAGGTTTCTTTGGGACACTAGACAAATAATTCACTTCAGAATAGTTCTTAATAGTGGAGGTGTCAGTATTTCAAAGGCATCTCTCTGAAGGCTACTAGCATGCTTTAGGGAAGCAGATCATTATACCACAGCTGCCGACTGGACAGAATGATCATTTTCTAAGAGATGATTAAAAACCTGAATAAGGAAATCCCCTAGTAAAAACCCCTAGTGAGTTAAATACCTTTTGGTAAATTATCGTGGGTTCCAAAAGTCCCTTAAATGAGCACATGCTTCACAACAGGTACTGAAAAATTATTTACTTATGATGAAAAATAATAATAATATAAAGATAATAACATATATATCTTATGCCAAAAATTATTTGTAAGACCACTGTAAGTACCTTAATTTATTGTATTGTTTTCTTTTTGCTAAATATGTGTGCATCTATTTGCAAAAGTGGGAAAACAGCATTTAACTACCTAGTAAGCCCATTTTCATTATCTGGAAGATCCTAGTTTTAAAATGAGAGAAGTAAACTGAATAAATAAACGAAATGAAATAAAATAAAATATTTTTAGCTTTTAATGTAGCTGGACTCCTGACATCATTAGGTATCTTCATTTCAGTCTTGAACAGGAACAAATAATTCAAGTGTACTCGCCTACTTTTGTTTTCTTTGAAGTGAGAGTATGAGTAGCAAAGCCCAAATTAGAAAGCTGATGACTGCAAGATTATCAACTTCACCTTCCCTGGAAGGAAATGGGCTAGTTCTCCCTTTGATCCCACTTTGAAATGAGTTTTTGTGCAACCGAGCCATCCCCATCTCTGGGTATTTAGAAAGAGCAACCATTGCTCTTTTGGACACCTGGCCCCACAGCCAAGTGGGGGATGAAAGTGACTTTTGCATGAAATTGTGCATTTTGAGTAAGGCCAGTCTTGTAAATTAGCAAATCTGACTACAAATTCAATTGGCAGATGTACTCTGCCCAGCAAGGCAAGCAAGCCTACTGTATATAGGTTTTGTTAAGCTGTGAGCCGGGAATAACTTGGAAAATTAGAGTAAACTTTGCTTCGGAGTCATTAATGACTTTAGTCAAAGAATGCATAAGACTTATTCACCTCTGTGCTCTGGGAGGCCATAAAGAAGTGAGGTGTGAGAAACATCAGTGCTTTTGATTTCTTTTTTTTTTAAATTTCATGTTATTTATTTATTTTGGTTTTTTTTGGGGGGGGTAGGTAATTAGGTTTACTTATTTTTAATGGCAGTACTGGGGAATGAACCCAGGACCTTGTGTGTGCTAAGCATGCACTCTACCACTGAGCTATACCCTCCTCCCAATGCTTTGGATTTCTAAGGTCAGAGATCTGGGGAAAAAGAGAGGGAAGAGAATGAGAGAGAGAGAAAAAGAACTCAGAGAACTTGTGGAGAAAGGCACTTGCCCCTGCCAAGGACTGAGCTTTTGTTTTTAGCCATCCTCACAAAAGGATCCTTGTTTCTGGTAGGCTGCTGTTTTTTTTTCACATGCATGTCTGAATAGATTTAGGCCTGAGTTTAAAAATTGGGCCTATACTGCCCCAGACTATGTTTTGTTTACCTTGAATCGTACTGACATATACAGTATGTATGTAGGCAAGTATTTTGGGGGGCTGGGGGGTAATTCAGATTATATATGTATGTATATATGTATGTATTTAATGGAGGTACTGGGGATTGAATCCAGGGCCTTGTGCACGCTAAGCATGTGCTCTACCACTGAGCTATATCTTCTCTGCATGTATGTATTTTTAATATTAGCTGCCACTACTTAAATGTTGGAGGATTTTGGTCTCTCTTGAAAAATGGAAGATCTGAGCCCACATGCCACCTGGCCCCCACTTGCCTGGATCAGATAGCTGCCCCTTTGGTCCAGGGGACCTCTCCATTTTGACCAGCCCCTCCTACACTTTGTTGACTATTCCACCTAGATGCTTTACTCCTGTGTTACCCCTGCAATCCCTCAGGGCATTTAAGAACTCTAGGGTTTTAGTCTACAGCTTGGTAGCCCTTCCACTACCCATTTCCTCCACCAAAGATGATTTCTCTTTTTTTCAGGCTCATTTTGGGAAGGGTCATTATTTCTCCCTGAAAAGTCAGATTTGGATTTTCATGTGCAGAGCACAGATGCAGTTAGTCTGTAACGTTTTTATCTTCTCACATGTAAATGTAGTAGCTTGCTAACCCCAGATTCTGCTTCCTTCAGCCTAGCTGGTCTTCAGCTGGGGTGAGCGTCGAAATAACCAGGGCAGAAGAGAATCATAAGGAGGGCCCCATTCTCAGAGATCCTGATTCTTTATGTTTGTGTTGAGATCAAAACATTTTTTATTTTTAATGCATCCCTGCATGATTCTGATGTCTTTCAGGGTTTTGAGAACTATTTTTCTAACTCTAGCACTAAAATCCAAACCTAACCCCAGATGGAATTCTCTAGTTCCCTCATTTTATTTTTTTTCCTTTTTTAAAAACTATTTTTATTGAAGTATAGTTATTTTACAATGCTGTGCCAATTTCTGGTGTACAGCACAACACTTCAGTCATACATGAACATACATATATTCGTTTTCATATTCTTTTTCACCGTAAGTTACTACAAGATATTGAATATAGTTTCCTGTGCTATACAGTATAAACTTGTTGTTTATCTATTTTATGTATAATAGTTGGTATCGGCAAATCTAGAACTCCCAATTTATCCCTTCCCACCCTCTTCCCCCACTAGTAGCCATCAGTTTGTTTTCTGTGTCTGTGAGAAAGAAACATACCATATGATATGACTCATTTGTGGAATCTAAAAAAACACACACACACACACACACACACAAATGAACTTACTTACAAAACAGAAACAGACCCTCATTTTATTTTACATATTGCTGGATTCAGTCAGGGGTCTAACCAGTCACTTACTCCCATTACCTCAACTATCTCTCTTCTGATCTTCCCAGAAACTGGCCTTAAGAAAAAAAGAAGACATTGCCGGAATAAGATTACCTTGTGTATTTTTATTTACAAGTTTGGAACAAAAAAATAAGAATGAATGGAACGTTCACTTATCTCTTTCATGGAGAAAATTTTATTTTATTTACTTTTATTTCAGTTTTTCAGTAACGTACCTGCCATTACGTATGCCATTACTATCTCCTTCCTTTTTACACAAATATATTAGAGATGCATTATGCAGCCAGAAATGGTGGACTGTTGATGGTCTCTTTAGAATTCCTTTTTCCTAAAGAGTTGGAAAGTAACTAAAAGTCTAAAAAGTGAATGAGCAGAACCAGTCTGTCCCTCTAGTTGTGTCCCGGGCAGTAGAGGACAGTGAGATTTCAGTCCCCAGTGGGGCCTGGAAGGCTGGGAAGAAGTTCAGACTCCTGTTGGTCACTGGTGATGCCGGTTCAGAAGACCATTTAAAATCTCTTGTCTGTTTAGCTCAGTGATAGTTCAGGGTGGGAAATCCTTGTGCTCAGCGGCAAGGGATTTCCCCAGTGTGTATGCACCCCTGACCTCCCTCAAATCCAGGATCTGAGGAAATCAGCAGACAGTGTTTTGGGCCTGTATTAGTTTCCTGTGGTTGTGGTAACAAAGTACCACACACTGTGTGGCTTAAAAACAGAAATTTATTTTCTCTCTTCTGGAGGCTAGAAGTCTGAGATCAAGATGTCAGCAAGTTTGGTTCCTTCTGAGGATACTGAGGGAACGGTCCACTCCACGCCTCTCTCCTTGACTTGTAAATGGCCTTCTCTTTGTGTCTTCACATCGTCTTCCCTCTGTCTCTGTGTATCCTAATTTCCTCTTCTTATAGGAACACCAGCCATTGGGATTAGGGCCCACCCAGGGACCTCTTTTAACTAATTTCCCCTTTAAAGGCCCTATCTCCAAATATGGAGATATTTCTGGCCTCTTCTGCTTCATTTCTTCTATGTAGTAACCAGGTTGGCTATGAAAAGTGATTCATCACGGACGCAGATAATTAATAAAAATCCAACCATTCTTTTCAGTTTCTCATCATCCGATACAAGGGACAGAATCTCATGTCACCCTGTTTCTGAGAGTTTCAAAGAGAGCAAATATAAAGATTCCAGAACAGGAAGACTTCTGGTTCCCAGGATTTGTGGTCGGCAAATCCCCACCACTGCAGGAGACTGCACTCCCAGTGGGTATTGTGGCTGTAATCAGAAACTCAGCACCCACATTGGGGGAAGGGAAACCTAAATTCCCCTTCTTCTCAAGACCAGGGCTGAGAAATTTCCCTTCCAGCCAGAACCCCAGCCGGGACAGTCCAGCTGCAGCTTTCTCAGACCAGAGGGCTCAAGACTGACTTCTGGCTTTCAGAAAATTCCTACCAGACTCCCTCCACCCTCAACATGCATTTGTTTTGAAGGTTCATTGTATAATTAACACTGAAGCGCCTTGCCAACAATTGTCTGAAAACAAATTGAGTTGTTTGCGTGCCTAAATGGAGAAAGTTAACTAGGAAACTAATTGATAAACCTGAAACTGAGCCCAGACTTCGGCCGGATGTGCTGAGTCCTCCCTTAGCCAGCCCTACCTATGGGCTATGGGACAAGCCATTTGACATGCTCTCTGCTCTGCTTCCTCAGCTATAAGGCAAGACAGCAGTAATTCCTGACACGCGGGTTTATTGTGACGACCATGAGGTGACAAGCCAGGCAAATGCCATGGGAGGATGGGCAAACGACTCTAGGGCTTGGTTTTCTTACTTAACATTTTCATGAATGATTCAGAAGGAGAGAAAAAAGCAAATTTCTGATTTTCAGGAAATATTAAAATCCTGTAGATATGCAGTAAGATCTTGTAGTTTATCTATTTTATATATAGTAGTTGGTATCTGCTAATCCCAAACTCTTCATTTAGCCCTCCTCTCCTTTCCCCTTTGGTAACTGTAAGTTTGTTTTCTATAACTATATTCATTACCTTGCAATAAGCTATAGTGGGAAAGACCATGAAAAAGAATATATATAACTCAGTCACTATGCTGTACACCAGAAATTAACACAACATTGTAAATCAACTATAGTTCAATTTAAAAAAATTCTGTGGATAATGAAAGACCCAAGGAGGTCCATTTTTAAGATCTATATTGAAGCTGAGCAGATGCTCATATGGTCCTTTCTGCTTTGATGCTCCAGAATTCTACGAGCTTGCAGTTTCTGTGGTTATGATTGGCTATGTGATCCCACAATGGCTTCAATAGTCAGAATGTTAATTACTTGTGTTCTTCAGGAAATATTGATCTTATTTCTCTTAACAGCTAGCTGCTAGTGATGTTTTTACTGAGGACCTCAGGTACTTCCCCATTTTGGCAAAGCCAAGTTCCCCTGGGTGTGACCCATCTGGAAAGCCCTTCCGGGATAGTCATCCAGCTTGCATCAGGTCACTGCCCAAATGCCGTCTTATTCAGTGGCCTTCCCAGACCACTCTTTATAAAGCAGCACTGCCTCACCCCTCAAACTCCATGCCCCTAAGCTTGCTTTATTCTTTTAAATAGCATTAATTCCTCCTTGACATATTGCCTTTTTCTCTGTCTCATCATCACTTCTGTCCATGTGATGCTTAATCATATGTGTCAACATGACTGGACCATGGCACCCAGATAGTTGCTCAAACATGATTCTGGATGTTTCTGTGAAGGTTGTGTTTGTTTGTTTTGGATGAGTTGAACATTTAAATGGATAGACTTTGAGTAAATTAGATGCTCTCCATAATGTGAATGGGCCTCATTCAATCAACTGAAGGCCTTCATAGAATAAAGGCTGAAGTCCCCCAAGGAAGAAGCTCATCTGCCTGCAAACTGCCTTTGGACTTGAACTGCAACTCGTCCCTGACTCCCCAGACTACTGGTCTACCCCATCAGCAAGATTTTGGACTTGCCAAGCCTTTGTAGTTGTGTGAGCCAATTCCTTAGAGTGAATTAATCTCTCTCTCCACATATACACATATATATACACACACACGTATATACACACACACATATATATATACACAACACACCCACTCACTGTTGGTCCTTTTCTCTGGAGAACCCCGACTAATATACATCATTCACATATAAACTCTGTGAGAGCTGAGTCTTCATCTGTTTACTGCTCTGTTCCCAAGCATCTGTCTGGCACATAGTAGGTACTCAGCAAAGTACTTGCTTATTTAAATAACTCATAAATGTTTTAGCTAATATTGTTCCCAGCTGAATATAAAACTGAGGTCTCTGTGAGTTTTTAATATTAATTATGATGGAGATTTAAAATTAATCTTATTCCTCTTTTTCCCCCGTTTGGTTTAATTTATCCACATTTCAGATCTTTGATTTAACTCGTTTTTTGGCCTTTTCTGCTTTTTTGAAAAAAAATGTTTTGAGCATTCTGATCACTTTGTTCTTTGTGGGTTTCCTGCCTTGTCACAGTCAAAAACACCCCAGTTTCTGCCTGGAAAGTTTGGGTTAAATCTTTGCATACTGCAAGCTTGAGCTAATGCAAAAACTTAAAAAAATACAAGCAGCTTACATCACATCATGTTAACAGTTACAACCTGCTCTGCAGACCCATTTTTCTTTTTTTCATACTTGACATAATTCTTCGATGCTGAACTAAGTAGGAAATGTTCCCAGAAATTCACCGCTGAAACAGGTGTGATCAAATGTGAGATGAGGTGGTGGTGGTATCTGCTTCAGGGCCAGTGATCCTTGTGTCTTTCACTGCTCTGCTCCAGGATTCACGGGTCTCAAATTCTGAATGCCTTCTGGACAGTAGGTTTTGATTTCCAGTCAGAACCTCAAAACTAAAACAAGATGAATTGGAAAGTACATTTCTTTTAGACAGCTCCGGAAGATTGACTATGTGCACAGGTTTTTTTTTAGAAATAGCACTAATGTAACAATTCAAAAATGTAAAAAAAAATTTTTTTAATTAAAATCTTTAAAAAAGCAAAATGTGCTGCCTCTCTGAACACTGGGTTCTTTCAACCAGGAATTGTGGTTCCTGCTTATAATTTGTCGCATGAATGTTGGAGATTAGCATCCCAGGGAGGATGGGCTCCATAGCTGCAGGGGACACACACACACACACTCACACACATACGCACACACACAATGCGGTATCAACTTTGAGTGCCTTTGACATGTCAGTTTTGGCTAGCCCAATCACTGTAAGACTCTTTGAGTTTAACTCTGTCATTTTCTTTAGTTTTGGGTGAGAAACCAGAATTGAACTGGAAGGAGAACAAGTGATATCTCACTGTTAACCCCCTCTTCACAGCAATGGAGGTGGCTGATCGCAGAAAGGAATTGCTCCTACTCAGTCTGGTTGCTTAGATTCAGTTTTCCATTATCTGTTGCAAACAGGACTTACTGATCTCTTCGGCAACAGAGAGATTTTTACGTTCATTCAAGAATTTTCACGTGCAGGCAATGTCTGGAATGTTACATGGTTAGTATATTTGATCCCTGACTGTCAAATAGAACAAAGTTAGTTATGGATTAAAGGATCCTAAAAGGTGAATGATTTTCATCTGAAAGCCCTTCCCATCTTAGCAACTAACCCTTTGGTATGATTACAACCACATGATTATTTCCTAAAGTGCCCACTTCAGTTACTGTTCCTTAGCTATTGATTCTCTGATCTAGAAGAGGGACAAATATGAACAGGATGACAGGATGACCTTCTGTAGAGAAAGTAAAAGTGGAAACTGTCATCCTGAAAACAGAAATTTATACTAAAAAATATTTTTTTGTGCAAAGCTACTTATTATGTCTTAGAAAAAGATCATAGATTCAAATTTTTAAAAGTGAGTCATCTGGTAATAATCCATAATAAGAAGAATATGAAAAAGAATATACATATGTATAACTGAATCACTATGCTATATACCAGAAACTAACACAACATTGTAAAAAAACTATAATTCAATAAAAAAAGTGAGAGTTGTACAAATATAATGTTAAAAAATCCCCAATGATTAATATATTACAAATCACACTCCCATGTGGAAATCTGCTTTTGGAAACTTAACATTCATTTTCAATTACAATCAACGTTACTCATCTTTGTATTCACAGAACCTGGCACATAGTTAAGTGCCAAGAAATGTCTGTTGGATTGAAGAGGCAGTAGTTGATGGTGAAGTCAGCATATTTAGGCATATTTCCTCTGATCTGTGTACCAGTGCCAGTTGTTCTCTACATAGACTTGTTTGTATAGAGAACGTAAGCTGTACTTTATGGTGAGTTCACTTGTCTCTTGGGTGGAGGAGAAGGAACACTGTAACAGGACGAAGTCAGGAGACTTCGGCAAGTCTTAGCTTTCTACCTTCTGCTCACGAGTGACCCTGGACAAGTTCGGTGTTCTCTTGGTGTTTTGGTGTCATTTTCCCTCCTGGAAGTCTGGATGTTAGAAATGCATTTTTAAATACATCCATCTCAGGAGGAAAAGATGGCAGCCACATTTCCTTCATCCCTGCTTCCTTGGAGGTTTGATGGCATCTTGTGCCTAGAGGGGGTACAGGCTTTGGTGGCAAAGGGGGAAGGGCTAAAAGGGCAGAGGTGGGGACTCCGGTGGCAGCGATTTATACATGTAGAGTATTTAGTTCCCTTGACCCAGAAGATGCCAGTGTTATTACTATACCATAAAGTAAAAAAAATAACATATGCCATGAAAACTATGACAAATGACCTTGAGAAAAAAATCCTCAGAGCTAGTAGTTTAAATTTTTACATATTCTACGTAAGATGAAAGATTATTTGAATTTATGTTTAGAGAGACCAAACAATAAATGCTTAAGAAAACTGAGAGAAAGATCAAACAGACATTACCCTCAAATGCTTCTGTACACTTAGGGGGCTGATTTTCCTATGGAACTCAAGTCTATAACTAAGATAAATTTGACACAATGTCATTGAGACCTATGGGCTTTCGCCTCCAGAAAAAAGGGAACCAATAATAGATTAAAGATTAGTTCTCTATTCAGAGAAGTTCGTTTTTTCCTGACTAAAAGTGAAGAAAATCCTATTGAGTGTATTGGATGGCTGGATAACCAAGAAGGATTTCATCAAAACTGTAGATTCTGTGGCTGTGCATTGAAAGGGAAGAAACAAAAACATGCTATCAGCTAAGTACCAGGTTTGGGAGAGATTATTACTTTTTATCCTCACGATAACCCTTCAAGACAGAAAGGACTGTTGTCACTTACAGATCAGGGAACTGAGGGTCAGTGAGGCTGTAAAACTTGCCTAAAGTCAGTGTTGGCAGCAGAGCTGGGATTCAAACCATGGTCATTGTGAAATTTCATGCTTTTTCCTACCCTGCTATGTTGTCCCTCACTGGAACTTCATGATAATAACAATGATAATAATTAATAATACTGCTAACTGGGCACCTGTTTATTACACACCAGGAGTTGTGCTAAGAGCTTTAAGTGTGTTATTCAATGATCACAACAAACCTATGAAGAAGAGGTTGCTTCCACTTTACAGACAACAGATGGAGAATTTAAGTGACCTTCCCCCGACCCCCGTCACAGGGCTGGAAAGTGGGAGTCGTGTTCCCTTTTGAGCCGAGGGCTCGGGCTCCTACCGTCTGTTTCTCAGGTAGTGTGGAGAACCTGAGGTCTGCACTGTCATGCAGCTGATCTGCTGCTTTTTTGGAGGCAAGTCAGCAGAAGGCAAGTCAGTTGATGTTGCCTGTGCGTGGCAAATAAAATACAGCCATTTGGGGGCAGCTGACACATGTCTTTACTAAGTTGCTTAGAACAGAAGTCAATCAAATTCTCTTCATGCATTCCTTTCACAGATATTTGCCTCCATGGCTGGACCATCGTCTAAAGGTGATAATGCCCAAGTGACTGAAATCGACTCTGAGATGCTGAAATTGAGTAAGAATATTACCGAAAGGGAGGCTGAGTGCCCTGAAGGCCAGCTTCGTGAGCATGCATATTGCTGTCAGCCATGTCCTCCTGGTATGTTATACCAAAAAATTCAACGAATAGAATGAAAATCAGAATGAGGAGTAGCATATATAATAATGAAGCAAGTTTTTTTTACAGTGTTTCTTTCTCCTGCATTATGGCATGACTGGGAAGAAAAAAAATATGACATTATTTTCCCAAGACCAGCGTAATTCATCTTTATCAATCTTGTTTGCTGTGAGTGAGTAAATTTAACTTATAAATGATTTGTATCTCCGAAATGAGAGGATTTACTTATTTAGCACCATATTTCAATAGCAAAAGAAGGCTTGTTAGTGCATATTAAAGCTTATCACATCAGAACTGGTTAGAATATATCAAAATAATTGTGGAGCTCTGAAAGCAAGGGACTTCCACCCTTAAGACATGTGTCTCAGCACTTCCCTTCAATCAGAAGGTCTCTAAGAAAGCTATCTGCCCTAGCACTGAAGCCTGCAAAATACATTTGCATCTTGCAACCAAATTAACTAGTTGAGCTAGAAAAGCAACAGAAAAAAACCAACAATTTTTTAAAATCAGTATTTTGAAATGCAAACCAATTTCAGATCGGAAATCCTTCCAACACTGGCAAATTAGAAGCTAAGCAAAATGCAGTTGTGCAGACTTTTTTTTTTTTTCTCAACATGGGGTGGAGTTGACTACTATTTTCTACAGATGTGGACCTCTCAGCTACATTGTGAAGGAAGACAGGAAGTTAAAGGAAAAGAACATGTGGGCATACAAGATAGATGAATGGAAGCATAGAGGACGGTAGTCGGTTTCATGTTTGGTTTCCCAGGCTTCCAGCACTCAAGCTGCTAACCAGGCGTGGGCCCGATTTATAAAAAGATCCCATCAGTTTTCCTTGGCCTCCTCTCCAGATTTTAATAACCCTTAGGGAATATCTCTCATAATCGAACCCATTTGCACGTAAGCCTATTTACATTCACTGTTCTCCAAATGGGAATAAGAATGGCTTCCCAGCTTTGCTAAACACCATCTATTCGTCCTCTGAATTGAGACCTTTCCTCATATTTTTAAAACCTAAAAGGCAAATTACAGTGACGATAATCTGTTTTGCATATCAAACTGTCAAGGATTTTTTTCGGTTTGCTTTTTTTGTTTTGCTTTGTTTTATTTTCATTTTTGAAACGATCTCAGCCCTGATGGGTTTGCTTGTGAGGTAAGAACTCTCAGATGTTACTCTTCAATGTAAATTGTTAAAACCTTTTAATAAAGAAATGGGGATAGGTGGGCCAAAAATTTGGAAGTATTTATACCCACTGATACAGTAATAGATTTATAGGAAAAAGTCTTAAGAAAATAGTGAAAATGAAAGAAAATATTGTATGCATGGCATTTCACTATGATACCCAATGATGTGAGATTAAGTGAGCTTCAGAGTGTTCAAAGACTGGAATATTATGTATAAATCAAAGTCATGTTTTCTGATATTTTTCTGATATAGGCCTCAATGTAGGTCAATTCCCTTAAGAGGTTTCTAACTACTCTGCTGGCTGGATAACTGACTCTCTCTGCTCCATCTCTAAAGCATCCTGGATGGTGTCCAGCACATGCTAAACACTCTCCCCACTTCTACTCCCTCTTACTGAGTTTTAGGCCTATCAGTATTCACACTGCTTCCAAATCTGTTTATGCTTGTTGGTGTTGTGATATTAATATGTAATTTAATTAAATGCTACATAAATCAATATATAACATACACAGAAGAAAACAGAGTTTATTTCTATGAAAATTATTTTGAATATTTTGGAGAATTTCAGTAAAGTTGAGTTACTGAAAAACCTGTTGATGAATTAGGTGGAGGCAAAATAAATGGAGAAAATCAAAAAAACTGAAAGCCTTTCATATAGATTATTGGTGTCTTAGTTTTCTCTCCCTCAAAAAGAAAAGAAGAAAGAAAAGAAGGAAGGAAGGAGGAGGAAAGAAAGACAGGAAAAAGGAGAAAGAAAAACAAGAAATTATAGCTGATGCATTTTGGATGTAACTTATGTGAGAAAGAAGCTGGAATTCTATTAACTTGTTTCTACACCACAAGAGTGGCAAATAATTATACAGTTATACTTTAAAAACTGAAATATTTACAGTATTTTTACAATGATCTGCTATGTGAATTGACATTTTTTTAAACAAAAAAAAAGTCCTTGTCACATCACATAATAAGAAGAATTCTGTGGTACACTGCATATATTTTATGTGTGCACACACACACACACACACACATCTATATATGTGTGTATATATATATGCATAGGAATGCACCAAAATGATATCTCAGAGTGGTTGACATATAGGTGCTTTTTATACTTTCCTAAATTTTCTACAATGAGTATATGTACTATTATGCTCAGAAACAAACATATTTTAAAATCTTATTTTCAAGAAAACAACCACTCTTTTTTTACATTTTGATAAATTTAGGCTGTATATATTGGAGGAAAGAAAGAAGCTCTGATATTACATCCCTGGCATGTCGTAGGCATTGTGCTAGGCACACTCTGCATTAAAGAGGTCAATTCATTTAGAAACTAGTATAATTCCACTGGCAAGTAATCAAAATTGTACTTTGGTTTGGTTTTCTTAAACAGACTGCTACAGTGTTATAGAGCCCTGATGCACTGTATTTAAATTTGGTTCTGAGTTTCCACAATTTGTTTCTTTTTTCCTATTGGCATACTATTGCCTTTGTTTGCTAAGAGTTTATATATGTTAAAATTTAATAATTTGTTCATGTAGTAAGTATTTATCAAAAAGAATGCTATGAAATCATTAAGAAAGCCATGTACCTAGGAAAGACAGCATATATTATTCTTGCCATACATGCAAGTGGGGCAGATTAGAGTTCAGACTTAAACTGCACACTGGCTCTCTTCAGGAGAAGTTCAGGAAGGTATCACTGGATACCTCTGCTAACATCCCATTGGCCAGAACTTAGTCACATGGCCATGCAAAGGATGCTAGGAGATGCGGTCTTGGTTCAGGGCAGCCGTTTCCCCTGATAAGTACTCTATTCCTATGGGAGAAGGGAAAAGGGATACTGGGTGACAATCAAGGCTCTCTGCCACAATGACTAATCCTTTACAAAGTTCTCAATTAGGGAAAATATAAAGATATTGTCATGTATTGAACTGCATGCTACTTGCCATTTGCAGTTAGGTTTCTGGCACCCGGAGTGGCCATACCAAGTAAATAATTCCCTAGTAGAGAGATCCCTGGAAGGCAGACAGGGAAGCCCTGACTTCAGAGAGAGTGACAGGATCATGTTAAAAAGCAAAAGGCAAAGCAAGTGAAGAAATCACAGTCCAGGGCATAGATTCTCCTGTGTAGCAGATGAGCTGTTGGGACTGAGATGAAGGAAGAGAAGTGGGACAGAGTTCCCGACCCCAGGGAACCTCCAGTCTTGGAATGTAAACTTGATGAACTTGGAACTACTTCCAAAGTTTTGTTTGTAACATGGTAGCTGAAATCTTTACCAAGCTGATATTGAAAAGGGTTTAACAGCTTAAGTTCTCACATAAGACGCTGGATTCAAATCCTCCATCTGATACTTACAGGATAACCAACTTATTCTGGTTTGCCTGAGACATCCCCAATTTTAGCACCAAAAGTCCAACATTCTGGGCAAACGGGGATGGTTGGTCCTCCTAGCTACTTACTAGCACGGAGCTACTGTTACTGAGGATTTTTTTTTTCTAATTTAATGTAGATCTCCAATTTTCCTTCTTTCATTTTCTCTGTACACTAACCTACTAACCTTTTGTTATTGTTGTCATGGGATCTGAAATGAGGCTATTCTCTGAACAGTCCTGTAAAGTAATTGTCTGAAATGTTACAATAAATTTGCTTTTACAAAGCAAAAATAAGTCAAAAGAATGCTATGATGTTATTAAGAGAGTCATGCACTTGGGAAAGAAAACATAAATGATTTTTGCTGCACAAGCGAGTGGGGCACGTTAGACTTTGTCTGTTCTTCTTAATTAACTATAACGTAGCAATTAAGAGTCACTAGCTACGCTTTTCTCCTAGATTTCCCCTTATGCTGTCTATCTCTTTCATCTTCATTCTCTATCTCCTTGTCCTAGACTAGCTTTCCCCGCAGCACTTATCACTTGACATCTTACAATATTCATTTATACATTGCCTGCTTCTACCTTGAGAATGTAGTCTTTGGACACCGAGGCTTTGTCTTATTTCCTGCAGTATTTCCAGTTTCTACAAAGCTCCCGGCACACAATAGGTATTTAATAAACACTTCTTAAATAAATGAATTTTCCAAAAGGCATTGTTGTATAATGCTTACTAATAGCAATCCAATGACTCATTTTATTTTTACATTAAAGAAATTGTGAATATGATTTAAAATTATGTGTATTAAGATAGCAAACCTTATAATAATTTTTTAAATAAATATGGTCATTCCTGCACGTGAAAATGTACTCCGTTCTTTAATGGCAAAGGAATAGGAAAAAAAGCAGGGGAGAGAAAAGGGAACTGTGAGCATTTACTAGGCAGGCCCTGTGCAGCTCTGTTAGCCATGCAAGAGCAGCATTATTATCTCCATTATGTGCATGAAGGAATTGAGACCTAGAGAGATGAAGTATTTTGTTAAAGATATTGTTGCTATTAAAAATTTGACCAAAGTCTTTAGAACTTCAAACGTCCTCTTCCTTAAACAATACTATCCTTGCCAGGATTTGTGGACTTTCAAAAGTAAAATAAGAAGTCAGAGCAAGTAGATTTGTTTAGATAATCAATCTCAGTGGCCAGTGGCGGTCCTCTCTACTGTGAATATAAACTTACCAACCTTCTCCTCTCCTCCCCAAAAAGTTGAGCAAGGCATCTCTTCCAGTGCTTTTGGTCATTCTAACTTCTTTTTTATATGCTCCTATTGTTAATTATCCTATTTCTGTAGGCGTATCCCTCAGCTACTCTTTGAGCTTTCGTCTTGGGAGAAATTCCGTCTCTTCACAAGAGTTTTGCAATCACCTTCTCCCTTACTGTATCTATATTTCATTAGCTTAGACCCGCCCCTCCTGTTTTAGCAGTGTTTCATTATCATCCCTGCATGCTTCCCAGGCTGTTGCCTGACCACCTTGCATTCAAACACTTGCTCGATTTTTTTTTCTTGGGCAGGCAAACGGAAAGATGGTGAATGTACAAGCCCTGGGGGTGAATCAAAATGTGTGCTCTGCTCAGAGCGGGAGGAGTACACAGACAAGAGCCATCATTCTCATAGATGCAGAAGATGTAGCGTTTGTGATGGAGAACACGGTAAGTTAAAAAACAATCGAAAGGGACTAATCGTGACACTCCTTGTAGCACCATTTATAATACAGTCTGAAATTGGGGCCTACTCTGGCGCTGCTGGCATACAGGAGGGACAGGAGGGGGCTGGCAGCGGTGGAGCAGGCCCAGGTATTGAGTGAATCACTGGTCTACGCGG